TCTCTCTCTCTCTCTCTCTCTCTCTCTCTCTCTCTCTCTCTCTCTCTTTCTCTCTTTCCCTTTTCTCTGGCTCATGAAGAGTAAACAAACTCTGAGCCTCTCCCCCAAGTCAAAGAGTAAAGAGTTCAAGTAACTAAGTTTCTTTTCTTAACCCCCTGCTGCTATCAGCAGGTATCAACTGCTTGAAGCCACAAGGTTTTGGCCTCAGGAGAGCAAAAGAGAGTTAATTGCCAGAAGTCATTAGCTTCTGGCCCCAGAACAGCAAGACAGAGTTGAAAGCCAGAGTCATCAGTCTGTGTCCTTTGTCCAATGCTCCCACATCAATACCTGAATAAACGTTGGGGCAGGCCCCCAGTACCTTCTCATTCTCTTTTGGTGAAACTACTTTCAAAATGTCCCTAACAAATTTAAACATACTGAGGGATCGAAGCATATTAAAGTGTTGAAGAGCATTAAAATATTCCTATCTGATAATCCAAAGGTGTGTTGAGAAGTTTGAAGAGGAAGGCAAGAGGAAGAGGAGCAGAGGGAGGAGGGGAGGGGTTGGCAGGTAGTCAAAAGAGCAGAGAGGAAATGGGACAGTGGGACTCACGCAGTATTCACCCTTGAGAAGGTTCTAGAACTCTTGATGATCATCAGACCATTCACGATCATCTCTCCAGTTATGTGACCCTTTGTGGGCTGGACTACCCAGAGGGGCAGGGGCAGGTTAGTGACATGCACTCTTAACTAGCGGTTATCAGAGCTGAAAATCTCAATACAAGTTCTTATAGGATTGTCCAACCTTCTGGTTTCTCTTAGTCATACTGTTGTAAGCTGAATAATTGTCTCGGGCCATACATGAAATACAATGGGGTATGTACAATGGGTTGCACACACACACACACACACACACACACACACACAAATCAGGTAATGTTTTAAGAAAGCTTATGATTTGGTGTTGGGTTACATTCAAAGCTATCACATGGAACACACGGTCTAGTGTTGGACACCCCTTTCATAGACCTTCCTCTGTCCTGTAATCTTAAGAATGCTCAAAAATACAAAGATATTTTTAAAGCCTTATTTATGGCTCTTGGTTGCAGATCTTGAAGGCATCCTTTTCTCCTTTCACAAAGACTTAGCAGGTTCTTGCCCTGCAGGGAAGAGAGCAAGGGTCAGAAGCCTGGGCAGAGGCAGGAAATACTTGGCAGTTACAGAAAGAGGCATGATACGTTAAAGGTCACCCCAGGCCCTCTGCTTCACAGACAGGGGCAGAGTCAGGAATGGATTCATCTGGGATCAGAAAGAGAGCAGAATGTTTTTACTATATTTTTATATATGCCTCCATCCTTCAGTGTCCTCAAGACATCCATGAGGGTTATAATTTGCATGCCTTTGAAGATACATGCATGTATGTGTGTGTCGGACACACACACACACACACACACACATATCGTGGATGAGAAACTGCAATCAAGGTTCCTCCCATCCCTGGGCTGGCAGGGATGAGGATGAGGCTCCTCCCACCATCTTCAGTATCTTTTCCAGGAGCACCAGCTTCCTAGAGCGCCCCTTCACCCAGGCAGCCCATGGCCATGTGCACCCATCAAAACAGATGACAACTGCCAGCTGCTGAACCAGGGGCAGGTTTTCTTCTCAGTTAAAAGCATGAGAGGGAGGGGGTATCCTTCCCTTTGGAGAAACCCTCTTTCCTGCTTTCTCGATACTTTTGAGCAACCAGTTGTGGATATTGCACCAGCAGGGCTAGACATGAAACCACCCAGAGAGCCAGAAGTACCAACAACAGGGCTTTCTCTTGCTGGCATGGAAAACTGGGAGAGGGCAAGTGAATGTTGCTGGGGGCAGCTGACCTTGGCTTCTTGGTTGCTTGCTGGACGATGGGCAAGGTTTTTATTTTGCAGGGAGAAAGGCAGACAGAGGACTGGACAGATGTGTTCTGTGCTGTGGTGAGCTTGGTATGAGTCCCCGCTGGCCCTGAAGGGTATTTCTTTCTGCAGCATCAAACAGGCAGCTGGAGAAGCATATAAGCAAGCCCACAGAGGCTGGGTGTGCAGCTAGAGAGCACAAGGAGAACGTAAGTTAGGATGGAGTGACAGTATCCAGACACTATGGCAGGAAAACAAGAGTTCACTAAACAGAAGAAGGAGTTAGAACAGTGTGGGGACAAGGGGCCTGGAATAAATGAGTTAAGACCATCTAGGACTTTAAAGCCCAAGGAGAGCCAGGTTCTGCCAATGCCCAGCAGTATAACCTTGAGGATGTCATTTTACCTCAGTTTTAGAGATTCAGTTCTTGACTGCTGAGGGGGATGGAAGTTTGAAGGAACCAAATTGGAGGCTCCCAATCTCTAAGTTCAATGACGGCATTGAGATATCCTTCAACTTGCAACCTGTTTAGTCCTGAAGGCCGAAGTGCTGCAGCGTTGGTCTGAGCTACAGTTGTGCTGAAGGGTCCCAGGAAGGTAACATCAGCCTTTCTGCAGAAGGCAGGCCAGGCTGTCACTACTCAGAGAGAAGAGGCTAGGAGATGTGCAGACATATGCACAAGGTGCAGAAGAACCCTGGGGTGCTTTAGGAATTCTCTACAGGACATGGGGGTGGTCAAGAGAGAACAGGGTTCCTGGGCTGTGATTAAAATAGGGAGGTTACCGTGGCTCCCACCTTTAATGCCAGCACTTGGGAGGCAGAGGTAGGCAGATTCCTGAGTTCGAGGCCCACCTGGTCTACAAAGTGAGTTCTAAGACAGCAAGGTCTACACAAAGAAACCCTGTCTTGAAAACCCAAACTAAACCAAACCAAACAAACAAACAAACAAATAAAAACCCAAACAGAGGTGTTAGGAAGCAGTGTGGAGCCTGAGCACTGGGGAGGGGTCCTGGCTGCCGGGGAGCTTTAGTCTCAGATGCTCACTCTGACTCTGTCCCTCACTATCTGGCCGGATGCAAACAGAACATTTCCAAGGGTCTTTCTAGATCCAGGTTCCACAAAAACTGTCATTTGCTATCTGCAGGTCCTCAGAGGCCCAAACAGCTGCTCTGGAAGAATCAGACAGCGCCCTGAGATAGAGTAGGACCCACAAATTGTACCTCATTGTACATACAAGTGAAGGTACACACCATGTTCTCATGGAGTGTGGGAGACCGGAAGCCACCCCAAGGGACAGAAGTGAGTCCAAAAGAATCCAGTGTTTGTTGCTGAGTGGAATCACGCCTGCTACTCTGGACAAGGGATTGGCCAGGGCTCTGGATCAGGGTCGGGCTGCCATGGCCTTGGGAAACTGTGACTTTTCGGTGCCACATAATCCCCAAAGGAACTAATTGTGATGGCTGGTGTGACAACTGCTCATGTTCAAGACAAGGCAAGGCACATGAGTGGCTTTAGAACTTGCCCAGCTGCTGCTCTGGTGTGTTTGGGACCCATGATAAAAGATCTAATTTGAGACCTTTAGTTTGTCCCTGTGGTTGGAATAGGTCTGGCCCCCACAGACTCTTGTGTTTGAATACTTGACTCATAGAGAGCACACATAAGGAGGTGTGACCTTGTTGGAGTGGGTGTGGCCTTGTTGGAGGAAGTGTGTCACCATGGGGATGGGCTCCAACGTTTCAGAAGTTCAAGCTCAAGGCTCACTGTCTCTCCTGCTGCCTTCAAATCAAGATGTAGAACTCTCAGCTCCTTCTCCAGCACTGTGTCTGCTTGCGTGCCACCATGTTTCTCCCCATGACAGTAATGAACTAAACCTCTGAACTACAACCCCAATTCAATGTTTTCCTTTGTAAGAGTTGCTGTGGTCATGGTGTCTCTTTACAGCAACAGAAACCCGAACTACGACAGGACTCTTCCTAAAGTGTAGCTGTTCCCCACAATGCACCACCTCCTGGGAGGCACAAACGGGTCAGTCTTCCTCTTCCTCAGAGCCTTCTATCTGAGGCCTGGGGTTAGAAATGGAACTGGGCTTGACCCCACTGTCAAGAGAGGTACATGGCTTAGGGGTGTGCCTGGGGACTCTAAAGGCATCTCCCCAGTTACCATGAACCCACCATAGAACCCTGACTTGTGAGACTCACACTGGAGCACCCTCCAGGAAAGCTATCCTGTCTGCCTACAGCCACCATGGTACCTCTCCATGGTTAGCACACTGTATTCCTCTCAAAGGCAAACTAGATCAGACTGTCCTGGGTTTGGAGCCAGTGTCTGCCCTGCTTCCTTTCATGTCTGATGCTCTGGACTGGGATACCCTCTGACTTTATGTGGAGTAAATGAAGGAGTCAGGACAAGAGGTAACAGCACAAGAAAAGGCCCATCAGTAAGAACAAGGAACTGAAACGTGTAGGATGAGACCACGGATAGGAAAGATGGTGGGGGAGCCTGTTCAGTATGAGGGAGAAAGGCCACATCTCCCCAGGAGAGGCCCTAGGGCTAAGGAAGTTTGCCCTGAAAAACTAGTTTGTCAGAAACGAATGGTATGGATGGTCTAACCAGAGACCAGGCCTTGGAAGCCCTGGGGGAAGGCTTTCTTTTTCACATATCAAAGGGCAAGGAGGGACTGTATTCTTAAGATCACAGAGCCAATCACGATGAGAACCTAGGATTTCCTATGTCTCATTGAGCCATCCCAGCCTGTCCTGTCTTCAACCTCTGCCCACTTCTAAAGGCAGAAGAGGGACCCTACCATTCATGGATTGCTACGTGCACACAATGCAACACTGCTAGTCTACCATGGAACGGCTAGGTGATGTCTCATGGGGAGCGTCAGCCCTGATCGTGGACTGTGGATAGAGTTCCTCATCTCTCTGGACATCAGGTTCTCAATCTATCAGGCTGATCACAATGTGAAGACAGGTTGCAACGGCAGATATATGGTCATGGTCAATACTCAGATTGTAATACTCCATTGACAAGTTCATCGTTCAGCTAAAGGAGCTCGGCAAACATTCATATTTCATCTTTTGCTGAGTGACTCAGCCTTGTAGAAGCTGAGAGGTTAATGTGCCCTTGAACCCACCACGTACTCCAATGCCATATGCAGATCTGGGCAGGACAATCCTAAGCCTCTCTTTGAATAAAATATTATCCCTAAATGGGAACATACTCAGCCATGGTCATCTCATGGCAGCTGAGCCCAGGATGTTCCTACAGCTAATTCCTGTAGACTCTCAGCAGAGCCAGAATACAAGACAAGTCCAAGTCAGTGAGTAAAAGAAGCCTGCAGGGTGCTGTCTGCACATGTGTCCACAGGCTTAAGAGCAAGGCAGGCAGGAGTAGGCCGATAGGAATGGTCTGGTGGCAGGGCATGGCTCTGGGCGAGTTCCCATCAGATTTGGGGAAACACGAAGGTTCAGAGCCCTGTTGACCCCCAAACTCATACACTGAAAGGAGAGAACCACCTCCCACAGGTTGTCTGCTGACTTTCTTATATGTATTGTCATGTGTATGCATGTTTCACACACACACACACACACACACACACACGTAATTCATGCTTGTATGCATTCATACATACTTACATATGATTAATTTTTTTTAAAGTGAGGCAAAAGTAGTGTAACCTGGGTCGGGGCTCATAAAGGGGACCAAAGACCTCAAACCCACCTTTGTCAACCTCAACTCCCTAATGCCCTCCTACCCTACCCTACCCTACCCTCCCACCGCACCCCACCCACATACATCATGAGCTTAGCAGCCCAGCAGTGTCAAAAGAGATGGGCTCCTCCTTGCTCCTCCTAGCCCTCTGCTGAGCAGCCAGAGCCACCGTTCCGCCCCTCAGCCCTTCATTCCCTCCCTCAGCAGATAACTCACCCACAGTGGCCACCATGCCTGGGGAGAAACGGGCCTCACAGAGCCTCCTCAGGAAGGATGTCTTCCCTACAGCAGAGTCACCCACAAACACGATCTTAAAGAGCCGGTCAGGGGTAGAAGGAACCCTTTCCTCCTGTGGATGAAAGAAAAGTCTGGTCACCTGTTGGGCATGGCCACTAGTCTCTGATGCTGCTAGGTTGCCTTAACTGTCACTGCAGGGGTCCACTAAGACCCCAGCACCAAGAAGGCCACTTCTGCCCTCAAATGAAACTAGCACTGGTCTTGGAGCATAGGCGTCCTTTGGGCACAAGCAAGAGACTGTTAGATGAAATGGTAGCCTTTCACATATGCTCATTTCTAATGGGGCTCTGGGACAGGCAGGTGGGCCCTGTCTGATGGAGTGGGTGGGCCAGGCATGTGACCAGTTACTGGGAGTGTGGTATTCCCAGAGTATTAAGGTTAAGAAGGAGAAGGAGACAGAAGTCCAGAAAGGAGGGGCTAAGGGAGAAGGCAGAATTCTCTATATGGGCAGAGAGGACAAGCGTGCTGGGTTTTCGTTGTTATTGTTTTCTTGTTTGTTTTTGTTGTTGCTGTTTGTTTTTTGTTTGTTTGATTTTGTTTTGTCAACTGGACATAGATAGGATCATATGGGAAAAGGGGACCTCAACTGAGAAAACATCTCCATGAAAAAGTCTGTAGGGCATTTTCTTATCGGTGATTGTTTTGGGAAGGCTCGGTTCACGTGAATGGTGCTTTCCTGGGCAGAGGGTCTTGGGTGGTATAAGAAAGCAGGTTGAGCAGGCCATGGAAAGCTAACCAGGAAGTAGTATTTTCCCATGGCCTCTGCTTCAATTCCTGCTTTCTGGTTCCTGCTTTGACTTCCTTTCCTGACTTCCCTTTATGACTGTGTGCTGTGAGCTGAAATAAATCCTTTCCTTCCCAAGTTGCTTCTGGTCATGGTGTTTATCACAGCAACAGAGAAGCAAACTAGAACCACAAGGTGGTCTTCAGAAGAGAGAAGACAGACAGAGAAGACATCCATAGGGCTGCATACTACTGTATATCTCCTTTGACTTGAAACATCCCCTCCAGGATGGAGGAGGGAGCATCATAAGACTCAGGAAACTTCAGAACGTTAAAAGCTCCAAGATTCACAAGGCTTCTTCCAAAGGTTGCCTGGTCTGGAGGGGGACACTCTCTGGAGGAGGTACCCTCCTAAGGTTCCCTGCAAGTTGTACAGGGAGCTTTAGGGGTAGACTGTTCTAGAGCAATCACCTATGCTGGGGTGGGCTGGATGGGTGATACAGCTGCCTTTGAGTTATTCACTCATGTTCTGGTAAGTAACCCCAGTCTCACTGGATGGAATCATGCCTCTCCTCTGACAGAGGTGCCCTGTCTACAGTAACTAGTATGAATGTTGAAGTGTCACCAGGAGAAGTCACCAACAGAGACATAGCGTCTGGGTGGAATGGAGGCTCTCTTGAGTCTCTACACATGGTCCTGTGTCCTCTCTTCAGTTCCAGTTGTCAGGTGGTGGCTTTTTCCACTCTTGTGCTAGTTAGTTCTCGTCAACTTGACACAAGCTAGGTCACTTGAAGAGAAGGAACCATTGAGGAATTGCCTCCAGCAGACTGGCCCATAGACAAGTTCTTGATTAATAATTAATGATTGATACGGGAGGGCCCAGTCCCACTGTGGACAGTATCATCCCTGGACAGGTGATCCTAGGTTGCATAAAGAAAAGAAAACTAGGCAAGTCATGGAGAAATTGCCAGTGAACAGCCCCCTTTCATGATCTGCTTTAGTTCCTGTCTCCAGGTTCCTGCCTCAAGTCCCTGTCTTGACTTCCCTCAGTGATAGATGGGAATGTGAGGTGACCTGGAATCTGTAAGATAAAATAAACCCCGCCTTCCCTTCTATTGGATTTGGTCAGTGTTTTTATTATAGCTGTGGTGAATCCAAATGAGGACACCCTTCCACTCAGGCAGGTGGGAAGCCTCCAGGGGCAACCACACATTGCTCTGCTCCTCAAGCCCCCGAATAAAGAAGAACGGGGCTTGCTATCATCCTCGGACTGTGAACCCTGGACCATGCTATATCATCCTGGGACTGTGAGCCCTGGACCATGCTATCATCCTGGGCTATCATCTTGGGACTGTGAACCCTGGACTATGCCATCATCCTGAGCTATCATCCTGGGACTGTGAGCCCTGGACCATGCTATCATCCTGGGCTATCATCCTGGGACTGTGAGCCCTGGACCATGCTATCATCCTGGGCTATCATCCTGGGATTGTGAGCCCTGGACCATGCTATCATCCTGGGCTATCATCCTGGGACTGTGAGCCCTGGACCATGCTATCATCCTGGG